AATGAAACACTGCTTAAAGCAGTTTGGAAGACCCTCCAAGGGAGGGTTCTGGAGAGGCCCCTTCCAAAGACGGCAGCTGATGTTTCTGGGACAGTTTATATGCTTTTAAAGGGAATGCAATATACAGAGAAATACATTAAGCAACGTATTCACTTTATCACATGAGATCAGGACTGCACATCATTGGCGATGGATTAAGTGGCAGCTTCTAAGTTCATCTAAACGTAAAGTTCTGCAGTTATTTCAAACGATGCAAATGGTAACCAGCGTACAGATACCACACTGAAAAAAATCAATGTTTTAAGATCCTTTCACGTTAACCAAACAGCTAAAGCAGCATAACAGCTCAATACAGCATAATGAGCCAACTGTAACTATTCCAGACCCCTTCAGCAGTGCGTGTCAGAACAGTGATCCCAATAAAACCACACTGATGTTGAACAGTGCTTGGAAAACTGGTCCTGCACTAAAGGTGATCTGAAGAAAAGTAGCAATTTCTTGTAAAATTTGCCCTCCATTTTAGCAGGTTTGCCAGTGGAATAACAGTTCTTAAAATAAGATAGTGAACTATAACTAAAACAAATAATATCCCGTAGCATATCATTTGACTTACCTACTCAAATCAAGTTTGAAAACCCTATTTTTAACTAAATTCGACTTACTTTTAGTTCACTTTGTGCATTGAAACCCTCAGATTTGTATAATTTTTGCCGAACTACCACCTCATGCTTTGATATAATCGGTTTCAGTTCCAGTGTGTGTTAAATGATAGAGGATGGGAAACATTCCAGGGTTCTCAACATTTCCTTCAATTAAAACTCAAAATTGTGATGTTAATTTCTATCCTTTTTTGATCTGATACTCTAGGTTAAAAGATAGTGGGTCATGAAGGTCTGGATTAGGCTGTGCCTTACCATCCAAAACTGTAGACATCATACAAGACACTATTTAATCCAAACTGCAAATCTAAAACATCAACTAAGACTGAAACCAAGAGGCTGATGGTAACTCTGGAGGAGCTGCAGAGAATCGGTTAGTTTTACTCGCAAGAAATCTGGCCTAACAAGGAAGTAAAACCATAAATAAAAGGAAATGTTGTGAGTTATCCATGTTGAACAAGGTGCTATGGTTACATGAGTGTAAAAATGGGCCAAGTGGAATGGTGGTAAAGCATGCAGCCTCAGCCCCTCAAACAGATTCCCAATGCAGTTTCTTTTTAAGGCTGATGCCAACACTGAGTATTCAGTCTCACTGATCCCCTAAATGTAATTTAGTGCCATAATTGAAGCCAATATTGTTTTCTATTTGCTAAACTTTGCATTTTCAAAAGAAATTAGCAGAATATTTTTGCAAATATTTGGTCATCCAAGTATGATTGACTTTGGACATTGCATAGTATGGGCAAAAAAAGGTCAGGTCTTGCTGAGTATAAAGCACCACACATTATATATTTGGAAAATTATTCTGAAAAACTTCAATCACATAAAACATCAATAAAAGACTTTGAAGTTTACTCTTTTAAATTCACAAAAAGTGAACATTTATTTTCCAGGCTTCATGATCAAACTTTATATTAATGATGTAACCATAATTGGCCAGAAGAGTTGTGATCAATCCTCTCAAAGGTGGGATGCCTTCTGTAGGATTTCTAGTTGCTAGGAAACTGGTTTCCCCTCCTCTGCAATCCCAACAGGCCTTGGAGACGTGACAACAAAGATGGCGACCTTTGTAAATGAAGACGACACAAAGGCCATCTGCCAGCAGGGTTTCACATAAACCCTCCCTCCCTGTTTTTTATCAGGAGTCTGAAACACCAAACACTCCACCGAAGTTTGCTTACAGAAGCCGGTTTCTGACTCTAGGTGCGTACCAACCTTCGTAGCAGTCTCTGACTGTGTCAAAGTATACGTAGTACTCCTCGTTGGTGAAGAAAAGGAGGCTGAGCCAGGAGTCAAAGGCATAGATGGGGACTATGAAGAGGATCCGGACAATATGCCTCTGCTCATTCGGAGAGCTGTAGTAACGCAGGTGCATGTAGATCTAAGGAGATTTAGGGGAAAAAAGAAAAAAATTTCTACCTATAGAATCACAAATTTAGATATTAAGTTTTTTCTACACTTAATGGAGATAGAAAATCACCACATAAAGGTAAAGGCAGTGTCTGTGTAAACAAGAAGCAGAGAGTTTTATTGTCTGGTTGTAATAGAGAACTGAGAGCAGGTGAACAGAACCAAAGAACCACAGTATGGTAGCTGGGAAGAGCTAATCAGTCAGAGGTCTCGGGTGTCTGCCTCTTTAGAAAAGCCGTCGTCGATGGTAAAAAGCATGTAAACATCAGGATGGATGGAACTTTCAAAAAAATGGCCCAGGACCTAAACCTACGCATCCATACAGCCAGAGGGGACAAAACGCAGGAAGCAACGAGAATTTAAAAGGGTTAAAATCACAACTAAGTCCTGGATCAGCTCTGCTTTCAGTGGAGCCAAAATTTTACTTTATGTTTTGCAAACAAGCTGCTAGAAACCGAATCCAACCTGCTGAAACCCGAACCCCGATGGACGGTATTAACTGCAGCCAGCAGGATGTGTGCGTGTGAAAAAACATGCAGGGGGGTTGTTTTAGGAAACTGACACCAAGCTTTCATCAGTCCTATTCAGAGCAGCAGACGGCAGGAACAACAGGAGTAATCATTCATCATCACCGCCACTCTTCTGCCTTCTCCCTCCCCCGTTGGCTCCCTTACACAATGTCAGCACCTATTGCCTCTCCTGGCCTTTAAACAGACCCACACCTTGGGTGGAATGACGAAAAAGTGGCTGACAACACGACGAGCTGCTCCATTTACATCCATTGTTACTCGGTGTCCTTCAGCTGCATCTGCACGCCTACCAACACGAGCAAAAGCCCTCATCTGCTGATTATTGATGAGGTGGTAGTCGAGCACCTGTTGCTCAAGTGACAAAAGCCTATTCTATCTCTGTATGCGAAGGGCATCGGCAAACAATGAGAAACAAATAATCTGGCCTAAAGGGTATTATAGATCTGCAACTCATAGAGGGACGCTGACATCAGCACCACTGAACATCTAACAGCAGGGTCCTCAGAGATCTGCTCTATGAGTTTCATCAGGTGCCATCAGCTTCATTGTGAAGACTCTTCTTCTCTCTGAGGGTCAGCATGTTTCCACCATGTCACTGTATATATACTTTTGTATTATTTGTCGTTCTTTTTCTCTAGATTCTCCAGTTTTCATTCCCAACCAGATCTTTACATTTTGTCTCATGACCAACCCAAACCTCAAGGATTTGTATGTGACAGACCAACACAATGTGAAGCGCTAATATAAAAATGAGGGAAAAATAATTTTTAACAAACTAAAATCTGAAAAGTGTGACATGCTTTTATTAATCCAAGTCTAAGTCAATGCTGGAGCGACAGTCCACGGCTCCTGTTCCTTCAGATTATTTCAGCTTTGCACAGCCATAAACTAGATTATTATCACATTTTTTAGAATCACATTTTAGATCCACTGTACCAGATTATCACAAGCTAATTTGCATATCTGGTCCATTGACAGGTAACAAAAAGTAGATATATAGATATGACAAACAATAAGGTAGTTCTGGACTATGATTCGTTTCAACACATTAACAGAATTCACTCTGCATCAGTCCACTTCTTCAATCTCCAACTGGTTTTTTGTTTTTAATTTGGGGTAAAACATTCCCACAGTATGATAGAAATCTATATCTTGGTAGTTCTTCAGTTGAACTACACTCCTCTAATTGTCAGATGATAAACTAAAAAGAGCTCTCACTGCAAAAATCAATCTAAAAATAAGATTTCTTTTAATAAATATACTTGTACTTGAATTGGGCAGCTGAGATATGAATGATCGACCGATAAAATGAATATTTCGGTTGCTAAAAGAAAAGATAATTATATACACTGCACTTAAAATTAGATAATGAAGAAGTTTTTTTTTTAAGTTGAAAGATAATAAATAATACTTGCTTCCCCTCATAGTTATGTGCTGCTTTGTGTTGGTCTGTCACATAACATCCACTGAAGTTTGTGGTTAAACTGTGGAAAAGTTTGCGATGGATGAATGCTTTTAATTTTCCTCCATCAGCTACCTCATTGCATACTCTAATAATATACCAAATAAAAGCATTAAAAACTTCCCAAACACACCACAAAAATCAGTCCTATTAACTAACATCTTCCAGGTTTTAAAAGAAAACCTTCTATCGACATGAAACAAAAGACTCTGGGTGTGCTCAGGTGTTGTAGCGCAGGTAAACATGCGAACAAAGACTAAAAAAGGCCATTGTTAGGGTCTCTTCTGTAAAAGGTTGGTGCCTGACTCTTACCTGGTGACACGTGATGAGAAGCGCTGTCCAGACAAAGAACCCGGAGATAGTCTGGGCAGTGGACGTCATGAGGAAGATCGGCTCCTCGGGTCGGACCACCGGGGCAATGGGCGCCCAGGAAGAGTTGGACCCCTGGGGGGCCACGGTGCTCGGAGAGCCTGGAGGAAGGCCATCAGGAGAGTCGCTTCCCAACCTCTCCGACAGGCGCTTGGCTCGCCACCAAAGCTGACTCATCTGTTTGAAGACAATGCGCCTCATCAATGATCATGCTTCATGTGATACAATTGAGTTCAAACCAGAACAAATCATGCAAGCAGCTTAAAAAATATATGATTTCAAGGTTAAAACCCCTGAATAAATGTACGTGATGTGAAAATCCAGCCGAACAGACCTACAAAAGGCCTGTTCTGTGACCTAAATCTGCAGCCAGCGCTCACTGATGTTAGAGAGAGGGAGAGAAACAGGAAAGTAGGACAGCGCACAGATCTAAAATGCAGAAGGCATTGGGTGGATGTGACGTGAGATCAAGACCGCGGGGGTGAGAGGAGATGGTATGAGGTAGGTGGGTGAGGAGAGAATGGAAATGACAAAAAAACGCACACAGCGATAATAAAGCCAAACGAAGAGAGATCGGGTATTTTTCTGTGCCGAAGGCAGAGAGAGGATGTACTAAAGATAGAAACCATAGAAACGGAAAACAGCTAAACACAATAGGGGCATTATAAACTTTATTCAGATAAACGTACAAAAAAACTAAACTATATAAAATAAAAAGCTCAAAATGAATGATTTACCACAGAAATCATATACAAATATTGATTATATTTTAGAAACAAATAGCCAGACTTTGTAACCTAATTTGAGGCACCATAAACAAGCAAAGTTAACAATGAATCTCGATTGGTTGGTTGGTTGGTTGGTTGGTTAGTTGGTTGGTTGGATGGTTGGTTGGATGGTTGGATGGTTGGATGGATGGATGGATGGATGGATGGATGGATGGACACAGTTTTTCTTCCAAACCCTCACAGACTTGGACTTTAATTTTCTAAGCTCCATGGCAATCCTGATGGCTTTAACCAATCAAATTAAAGATAAGTAATGTGCATCAATCACTCGTATAACAATCACATAGAACGATGACAGCCAGGGAGGCCAAATCTAAAAGCTCATTACATCAACCGTGTTTGGGATGAAGCCTGACATGGCCGCCACCAGCATCGTCACATCACATCTCTCAGAGCGACCACCTTGACAATGACGTTAGCATCTCAGAGCCGATACCAGGAAGGCAGTAATCTAATCGTTCACACATAAATCTCCCCCCAACCCTTTCTGAGTAGCAGCTAAATATAGGCATGTGCACAGAGTGGTCATGGGTGAGTCATGCTGCTCGCCTTGAGACTCAATGAGGATGTGACAATGCAGAAGCACGGAGCATTAGCTGAAGATGGATGGATAGATGGATAGATGGATAGATGGAT